ATATATATATATATATATATATATATATATATATATACATTTACTGGCTATAGGAACAAAACTCCACGAGGGTACAGTCAACAATAAGAATGAGGCCCTAAAAAGGAATATTAATTTGACTAACAGTAATAACAACAGCAACAACAAACTGTATACGAGCAGAGCAACAGCGAGCACAAACAACTGCAATATATTATATGATGCATCCAGAGAAAAGTAATAGTATACAGCAAAAGAAAAAGGTGTAGTGACACCAAACAGCAGCAGCAAAGAGAGCAGGGTCACCTTCAACTTTTTCTGAGAAGAATTTGTAGCAAAACTCATACAACTTGTAGTCCAGCAGATTCCCCTCTACTCAACGCAACAAAAGTCCTAAACCCTAAACCCTAAACCCTAAACCCTCGTCCGCACGCGCCAGAGTCCAGGCACTGTTTCCATGCTATTAAACCACCCACAAACTCCAACGTGTACTCTCGAATCCAGGGTTTAGGGTTTAGGGTTTAGGGTTTACGCTTTGGGGTTTAGCCTAACCACTTGGGTCCATTCCAACTGTTGGGTTTCTCCTGATGACCTAACACCAACAGAAGAAAAAGAAAAGAAAACGAAGTGCATGCATGCGCTCACGAGAAGCGTGCATGCATCGATGCATGCTCACGAATGCACATGCATGCACCTGCACCAACTTAGCCAGTATAGAAACAACAAAACGAAATCATAAAGGGAAATAAACTAAATACAAAAAAAAAAGAAACCCGGGTCTGTACATGTTGCAGAGCCAACTGCGTTCCTGCAATATTGTAATTAGCGTAGATAAACGTAGCTAGAGTTGCAGTTATTTATATATACAGAACACCAGTTAATTACAAGCGCCGCATATATATATATATATATATATANATATATATATATATATATATATATATATATATATATATATATATATATATATATATATATATATTGCAGCTGCATGGACAGTGGATCATACTGCTTTTGTGAGCTCCTTCAGAATGGTGGGTAGATTTGGGGGGACGTTGATTTGCTCGGCGCAGAAGATGCGCTCATACTTGCAGTTTTCCATTTTCTCGCGCTAAACCCTAAACCCTAAACCCTAAACCCTAAACCGTAAACCCTGAGGGTACGCAGAGGAGAATGCATAGGAGGAGGCAGTTGAGCGGTGCTTTCGCTCTCCTTGCTTCTACACTATATTTTCGTTGATGCTACAATACTATGCTTATACAGAATACAAGTACACCTGTGTAAGATATAGGCGTATTTGTGTGTATTTGTATTGTATGCATGCATTGTATTGAGAATACGTTGACAACAAAAGTGGAAAATCTATAAACCCTGAATCATAAACTCTAAACCCTACGCCTTGATGCTGAAAACCTAAACCCTAAACTCTACACCCTAAACAAAGTTGCAAAGCGTCTTCGTCGTTCCTGTTTCTTCTTTTTCGTGGAATTTCTTACAAAAAGGGTTTATAAGAGCAGATGTTTTCGCTTGTTTCTGCGAAGGAAACTCGCTGCTTTCTGTGTGTACGAGCTCTGGCTGAGGCTACTAACGACGGAAGTTAGGGTGGAAGATCTCTAGGTGTGGACAGAAGACGTTCAAATATCTTTGAAATATAATATATTTATTTCTTTATTCATATTTATTTACTTGCGTTTTTCTCTTTTCTTGACAGATTCTGGGGCTTTCCGAGTCCCTTCTGTTGCCTTCCACAGCCACCGCTACGTATGCACCTGAGAGCGACTTCTTCCTTATCGACGAAGGTGAATTTTATTTAAAAGGAATTAAACTTCTCAAAATAGAGAAAAAGGGTAATAACATTTCAACCGGCCTTCGCGCCAGCACCGACGACAGCCCTTGGGGCTGCCGCCGTGGTGTTGACTTCGCTGTAGCCGTTGTGGTGTTGCTGCTGCATTTTCAATAAAAACGCAAAAATAATAGAAATTTAGCATTTAGTTTTTAGATAAATTAATTTTAACGCACGAAAAGAAGAGTGTGGCTCGCAAGGTACTATCACGAGAGCAACGGAACAGCTGCACACCGCAGCAGGGATTACAACCCCACCGGGTGGGTCTCGTACATATATCATCTTTTCTGTATTTTTACGACTTCATTGCTGGAAGAGAACAACTAATTATTAATAGGCAATCGTTGAGACGCCTGCACAGCTGCTCCGAGTGTACACGTCCCTCCTTGCCGCCGACGTAAGAGCAGCCTTCAAAATAATATCATTTAATTCATCATAATATAAATTTAATTTATCAGCGGCAAACAGTTACTATTTGCTTCCATGAAGCTTACTGCCTACTTTCAAGGAGCGGGAGTAACGAAGCCTGCAGCAAGAACGAAAGGTTCTGCTCGGGAAGCAGCAAATTTATATTTTTGTTTGCGTTGGTTCCTTCTGTAATTGTTGAAGAGGGGTATAATTCCGAAGTAAAAAAACACAAAAAATTTCTTTAAGGCAAAAGAGGAGGCGAGAGAGACCCGCATTTGGCTATTCTTCTTGCCTCCTCATTCCTCCTTCATTTGAACATCTGTGCATTCATTCACGAAACGAAGCCGGTGGCTCCGCATGCAGCAACACAATAACAAGCGGCAGCTTCACTCGTATTTCTGATTCTTCTTCTTAGAAATCTCAGCAGCAAACTAGTATATTGATGATAATATAAAAGTGACGATAGTAGTAGCCATAGTAGTAACTCCTCCTCCCCCGGCTTTCCCCCCCAGTCTTCTATACACTGCCGAGGAATAGACATTTGTTGCTGCTTTTACTCAAAGATTTATATAAAGATATATATAAAGGAATGAGGCGCCTGTATCCTTCGTAGAAACCGAGGAGGGGCCGCACCAGGCAGTTACTTAGCTGCTATGCTTTCTCATTTATTTAGTACTGTATTTACTTATTTAGTTATTCCTGTAGTTGTTTTGTGAGTTGAGTTTCCGTTGGTGTGCTTTTACTCAATGGCCAAGCACAATGAGCGACTTGCAAGAGGAAGCTGACGCCTTCAACGGCAGCAACAGCAGCAGCAGTTCCGCAGAGCAGCAGCAGCAGCAGCAGCAGGAGGAACTTGACGATGCTGGTAGCAGCAAGATTCAGGTGTATCTGCGGATGCGCCCCATGGAGGGGCGTTGCTGGTGGCACCGCATCGGCGGCTCCGAGCAGCGAACGTTGATAACGACTCTCCCTCGAGCTGACGGTGCAGGCAGCGCCAGCAGCAGCAGCAGCAGCAGCAGCAGCAGCAGCAGTGGGGGCGCTCTGAATAACATGCGGCAGGAATACAGGTTTCACTTTGATGGAATATTTGATGAAAACGCAACACAAGAAGAGGTGTTTCGCGGCGTGGCTCTGCCTGTTGTGAATGACGCTCTCAGAGGCATCAACGGCACGGTCTTCGCTTACGGCCAAACAGGAACAGGAAAAACCTACACCATCACCGGAGCAGCAGAAGCATTTGAATTGAGAGGGATAATACCCCGCGCCTTGGCGCACGTCTTTGATTTCGTTGCTTCCTGCACTACCCAGGAGTTTTCTCTCGCCGTTTCTTATCTTGAAATATACCAAGATAAAGGATACGATCTGCTTATGAAGGCCGAGAAGCAGAACAGCAGCAGCAGCAGCAGCAGCAGGAACCTTGAAGAGTTGAAACGGGTACATGCAGTAGCTGACGAGCATGGCAACGTGTGTTTGCGAGGCTTGTCAGTGAATCCCGTGCGTACAGAAGAAGAAGCATTGAATTTATTGTTTATAGGGGATGCAAATCGTATAGTTGCTGAGACACCTCTGAACGACTGCTCTACGCGTTCACATTGCATCTTCACAGTGTGGATAGCGAGCAAGGAAACAGGCAGCAGCAGCACGAAGAAAGCAAAGCTACATTTAGTAGATCTCGCGGGATCTGAAAGAGTTAAACAATCAGGAACGAGACCCGGTGATTGTATATTTCAAGAAACCTGCAGCATCAACTTAACATTACACTACCTTGAGCAGGTGATCGTTGCGCTGCAGCAGAAAGCTGCAGGCCAAGCAACACATATTCCTTATAGAAATTCTCTTATGACTTCTGTATTAAAAGATTCATTGGGGGGGAATTGTAAAACAAGAATGATAGCTACTGTTGCTCTTGAATTGTTTGCTATTCATGAAACCATCAATACGTGCAGATTTGCACAAGCCGTAGCTCAGGTACGAAACGCAGCAGAAATAAATGAAGAAGAAGAACCAGAGGCTATCATTAAGAGACTACAAAAAGAAAACGAAAAACTTAGAGGACAACTGCAACTTGCTGCTGCTGCTGCTGATGCAGCAGGAGAAAGCGCTGAATTCACAGAAGAAACAAATGCAATATGCAGAGACGCAGTTGAACGCTTTCTCTTGGCCGAGGGTACAGATGCTCAACTGCCCGTCACTGCAGCACGAGATCTTCGTTCTGCTGATCTTTGCTTTCGAATTATGAGAGAAAAATACAAAGAAATAAAAGCAGAAACGACAGATAACAACGGTGGACGCTGCAGACGCAAGGAATGCAAGGAGGCGCTGCAGCGCCTCCAGCTGCATGTAGAACAACGCGACGCCGAAATCGCAACTTTACTAGGAATTATACATCAAAGCTCAGACCCTACATGCAACAGCAGCAGCAGCAGCAGCAGCAGCAGCNCTCACGCGCGCTGCTGTTGAAGCAGCAGTGCGAGCGGGGTCATCAGGGTGTAGAGGAGGAGAAGAAAACGAAGAAGAAGGAAAGCCGTGGCTAGCTGGGGCCGAGGCCACCGCATTGCTCAGAGATAGAGGACGCGCGTTCGAGGTGCTGAGACGCAGCGCTAGGAAAACTGAATTTCTTGAGGCAGATTCAAAACGCATGCAGGAGCTGTACGAGGAAGCCAATAGATGCAGAGAGGCGGCACTGAAAGCTAAAGAAAAGATCGCGGGTGCACGAAACAACTTAGAAAAAATTCGTATTCGAAAATGCCTACAAAAAGGAAATACAACAGAAAATATACTAGAAGAAGATACACCAGAAGAAAGCCATTTGTTGCAGCAGGTTGCTGAGTGGCGCGATGAATACATAAAAAACATCAACGATCTAAATGCTGCAAAGAGAGAACTTAAACGTATTTATTTAACTGTAGAAAGAAACAGAAAAAAACTACAACAAGACTTTGAAGGCTGGTTCAATACCATCGCGAACCAAGAACAAAATGAGCTGCCTATACACCCCAACTCGCCGCGGGAAAGCGGTATTTCTGGTCTTCCTGTTTCGTTCGATTCGCTCCATGAAAATTTATTTTTAAATGAATCAATGCAAAAAGAACAAAATAAACTTGCAGTAAACACGAAACAAACAAACAACTGCTCCGTCACCCCCTGGTTCACACCACGCAACTCCTTCCCCCGAGTTACAGACAAAACTGAGCAGCAGCAGCAGCAGCAGCAGCTAATACCTGCAGCAGAAGCAGCAGCAGCAGCAGCTGCAACATCAACACTATCAGCAGAGGATCTCCCTGTGCTGCAGCTTGCTGCTGATGAAGGCGCGAGTGCGTCTCAGTCGTTGGTGTTGGGGTGTATGGACAGCTCCGCCTATTCTTCTTCTTCTTCTTCTAATATAAAGAGCGCTTCTTCTTCATTATTTTATAAAAGCAAATCCTCTTTAGATAATAACCTCTTAAGCCATAGCCCGCCTCACGAACTATACACAGGTGACCCCTCTGCTGATGCAGATATCAAAGCTTTTTATAAAGCAGTCGCTGCAGGACAGACGGCTGAAGAAAACCAACAAAAAGAATAAATATGTTTTCAACAAAAAATACAATTAATGTATTTAATAGGCTAATAACTATAAAAGCAATTCATCTCATCTTTAGTGAAATAAATTGCGTAGGAGGAAGAAAAAATATAGAAAGATGCAGCTCTAACGAAAAGAAAAAAAAATAAATTTATATAGAAACCTATAACCAAATAACAAAGCAGCCAGGCGTCACCAGTAGCACGAGACTCACTCATATAGATCTATACATTATACACTGAATGTAGGTTTTAATAGAGAAAAAAACAAACATATTACACTTCGTATCTGCCTCTTCAGCTGCATCTGTTAACTGCTCTCAACAGCAGCAATGTATATGAATGTGTTTGTAAGCAGCAAAAGTTTATTTTATTTTTTTTTTTTTTTTTTTTTTTTTTTTTTTTTTTTTTTTTTTTTGTGTACGACTGGCGTGCGGCTGCTATCAAGCGTAATGTTTATCCACTATTATTAAAATAGAAAAGAAGCCAGCAGCAACACGCTAGTATAAACCCTAAACCCTAAACCCTAAACCCTAGATTCCGCTTTGCAAGCAACACGGATTCTTGAGGGTGCCGCGTGGTCACCCCTCCTCGATGGTTGTTTCTCTCTTTTTCTCGCTTTTAGAGAATGAAATAAATATCTAAATAAAATAAATATTATATTAAGCTAATTTAAATATAATTTTTTCAGAAAGTACAGCTCGTTTCCTTCTTTGTTTCATCACCGAGGCTGCGAGGTCCACTGGCCGCCTGCATCAGCAGGAGCAGCTGGGGGGGGGTTTATAGGACATGTTGCGTTCTTTTTGTTTCAGTTTCTTTGATTTATTTCAGTAAAAATAAATTTATTTAATTTAAATAATATAATTAAATAAATTTCGAAAAAATAAATCAAAACGATGGTAGATCTGCTGCAGTGTTTGGGGCTGCATGCAGAACCGTTCAATATTTTTGTGTTTATATTTATACGAGTATTTATCCCCGTTACAGCGTAAACCCTAAACCCTAAACCCTAAACAACATAAATATTAATTTTTAATTAATGATCTAAGCTGTTAGCGAGCCTGGGTCCCTCTTGAGCTCCTGCAAATGAGCTGACTATACACTCCGATGTGTGTAAACCCTAAACCCTAAACCCTAAACCCTAAACCCTAAACCCTAGACCGTAACTCCCTGCCTTCTCCCTTTAGAAACCTCTATAACATAGATTGAAGGCTCTTGATAGCAATGTCGTACTATAAATTACAAACCCTAAACCCTAAACCCTAAACCCTAAACCCTAGGACCTGAGCTACCTTCTAGATACTCTCTCTGTAGATATCAAACCCTAGAACCTAAACCCTAAACCCTAAACCCTACACCCTAAACGCTAGGTCCTATAGACCCCAAGCCATAAACTAATATGGGGAGCAGTACGCGGCAATATCTGGTTTATAAACCCTAAACCCTAAACCCTAAACCCTAAACCCTAGACGTTGCGCTCCCTTCTAGTGTATGTACAGCTCCGAGTAACATATCGATGAAAATTTGCAGTTTCAGAAACTCGGTTAGTTGGATCAGTTTGTGGTTTACGGACCCTAAACCCTAAACCCTAAACCCTAAACTCCTCTTTAGTTTTTCTTTGTTTCTTTGATTGGAGCAGAACTAATGCACCCTAGTTGACTAAGAAGAAAAGGGATATATATATATATATATATATATATATA